GTGTCAGCTGCATGGCTGCTGCTGATGAATAAAATATTCAATTTCTGTCACGTTGTACCAATAGATCCTCCTAAAATCATACACACTGGATCTTTAAGTCAAGTTCCATAGTTCATCATTTCATACCAAAAAAAAAAAAAGTGTCCTATGTCAATAAATCTGGATAAGCACCCAAAATGTATTTTTTGCAACAAAAATGAGAATTTCATATGTAGTCCACAATTAAGGTGATGGGGGGAAAAAAGCAAAGCAAAACAAAGACTGAAAAGATGAAAAGTTTAATAAATTTGTGATGCATGTAGTACAAATATGTTGATACTGAAACAAACCTAGTGACAAAAGATGACAGAACAGGTTTGTGTGTAGTCTCCATTACATTTGCAAGAATTACATTAGTCCCATGCCCAATTAGCCAAACAGTTTTCATAGTATTCTAACACCTCAAAAGTCTAAACTACTGAATGGTCTCTTATCTGTACTAATGGAAAAATACAACAGTCTTTTAGCCTCTACAGATAATCTTGTATAACATTTAGTTCTGTTTTTGGTCTCTACCAACTCCTGAGGGAAATATCTGGCTCTAGCTGTTAGATGCTCTACTATGCTCGCTATTTGTTTCTTCACTGTTGGTGCATTGTTATTTGACACAATTCTGCCACCAACTATTAAACAGCAGAATAGTGTGAAACAAACAGCATGATGTGATTGATGCAGCCTATGTGCTCATGACAAACAAAAATGGGACCTAAACACCTTTTCCCATAGTTAGCAGACACTAGACAAAGAACAGTTTAGTGTTAAGGCCAAAGGTCTGTAGCTTGGTAGGTGGTTGAGGAGGTTAGGCTTGGGTGAACTGACTGAAGACGAAGACAAAGTGCAGACTGAGTCGAGGCAAGACTCTACAGCAGGTTAACATGAATTTAGCAGGGACCCTAACTCTAAGTCAGTGCAGAAAGGGAACTTAATGAACTGACTGTCCAGAGACTCAAGCTTAAATACATTAAACCAATTAGGAGCAGCTGGGAGTAATGAGGACATTGCTCGGCAGCTGAGACAATCAGTGGGGACTCAGGAGTCCTCATGTGGCACACTGGGACCAACCAAGATATTATTTAAAAAACACATTGTTGCTATAAGCTTAAAATACAACTGCTATACTAAATCGTTGAATATTGTTTGTATGCCACTCTGGATAACAACCTCGACTGTAACCTTGACATAATATGGTCGAAAGGCAGTGTTTGTCGACTTCACAGAATGTTCTTGCACTAACAAGAAAGGTAACAGCTGACAAGTCAGGTCAAGCTCCGAGCACACACACACACACTGAGGAATGACACTAGAATGCAGTCAGTAATATACTATCCCTGCTTTTTGAATGAAATTAAGCCAAGACAAATGCAACATCCTATGAAGGGAACATTTAGTACTGTGTTCTTATGGCTTTGACATGTAATGTATGTGTTTGTGTACATGTACTTGTTGTAGTTCACCTCTCTAATGCTTGGTCAATTGAAACAGGATACACAGGTGTATCACGCTCTCGCTGCTTGGGGAAGGCCCTATTCTTGGCTCCATAACAAACTTTATGTTTTCCGTAGGTGACATTAGCCTTCTAATGGTTATGTGTCAAACCAAGGTGTTATGTCATTTGTTCTGAACAAAACAGATAATGCTCATGAGAGTGCAGAATGTTAACAGCTAAGTGGTTCTGTAAGCTGCAATGAACTGCGATTACTTGACAAAATAAACAAATATTGTGTAGGTTTTTGTCCTTAAGGTGGGAGCAAAACTGAAGATAATTGACATTTTAAAAAAGTAAGACAACCCAGGCATCACAAAAACATCAGCAGAAAATACACTGAATATAGTTTTGGCAGTCAGAAGTGATTATGGATGTGCTGAAAGCACTCATATCCTACAAGAAAAAAAGACTTCCATCAATAGCAACTGGCAAGAAAAGTGGATGGCGGAATCTGGGAAGCAAGGACTTTGCAGCCACAACCTTAGGATAGTCATGACCATATCTAAAAATCAAACATGCTTGGACCAGTGTGTAGGATTTAGTGGCATCTAACAGTGAAGTTGCAGATTGCACCATTTGAATACAGTTTAGCCTTCCAAGCGTGTAGAAGAAACTACAGTGGTCACAAAAATGTGAAAGGCTCTATCTACAGCCACACAGAACACATACCTCTTTTACAGTTACTTCAAAGAAAATAATTGGCATATTATTTCATAATGAACACAACAGTTAGTTGCAGCCCTAGCAGAATGTATTTCTTCTTCACAAAACATTAGTAGTCTTTTTCTGGACAGCTATTGCTACATGTGTTGGGGGATACCACCACAAACTGTGGATCATGGAATAGCAAGGCAATGCATGCACTTCATATTTGCTTTAACACCCATTGCAATTGGCAGGAAGGTGTAGAGTGTGCTTGAGGCACTGGCATAGTACCCATACTAATGTATACTGAATCTGGTGGTTTTCTTGGTTTCTGCTTGGGGCACAGTCATAGCTTGTTAGCAGTTAGAAAATAAACACATGACCTGTTTGTGCGGATGGATGTTTGTGAGTGAGTCTGTCTGTGTGTGTTTGGTCCAAGGGGAAGGTCATAGACAAGTGTGTGTGACTCATTATGCAGTAAGGAGTCCTCACAACACAGAAATGAGACCCTTACATAAAATGGGCTTGGAGGGGAGAAAATGGACTGCCTTGTGCTGAGTGAAAAATAATAATAGAAACTATTAAAGAAAAAGGAAAGGATTTTATTAATAATAATAATAATTTTACTGCTACAGTGTACCCTTAATTTCCGTGGTGCTGACTGTGTGTGACATGTGCAATAGGGACTGTTCGCCCCAAAACATACAAAATGTCCACTTACATTTGTGAGAGAGGAGATGATCAAAGGATTCTGACCATCGAACAACCTCATCCGTTGATAGTCTGATGGAGAGAAAACCAAAGGAAACCACCTGAGTAAGATGCGAACCAACCACTGTGCTTTCATGCATTTTTAACACACATGTATGGAAGGGCAGCTGAGTTCAATGTATGATTTATCCTCTGCTCACACCTGTTCTTCCACTCCAGGCTGTAGAGGCATTGTAATTCACATTTACAGAATAATGACAGGACGAAGGAGAGACAGAAGCTGACATTTGTTCTCATTTTAATGCTCTTTTATAAAGTGGTGAAAAAATAAAGGGATAATACACTAGCTTGGAGATTAAATGGATACATTAACATGATTGTACCCCTCAAGACCCCGTACATAACAAATCCCAATTTAACCCCTCATTATATGGAACATTAGGCTATTTGTGAAACACAATAACAGTGTTATATATTTAAAACCTCTGCCATGGTTTCTCCTATTAAGTTTATGATATGGTTATGTGTTTGAGCACCTTTCTTGGTTAGTTTGCACATAAATGGTTGAAAAAAGAAGGAAAACAAATCTTACTCAAGTATTTTGATTATGGCAGTGTGTTAGGCAGCGTTAAGTGTAAACCAAATTAATCACACTGAGAAATAATTATCTATCGGCAAACATTTGCAATGGCCTTGTTAAGTGTCAAGCCTGTTTCCAGCAAGAGTAAAACCCCACTCTTGATTTGAGGAAAAAGATCAACAATAGAATAAAATTGTGTTATGCAAATTTTTGGTATACTGAACAACAGGAATTTAAATTGCTAATCTATGTTGCTGGCATGCTGGATGACTGAGGACTATAAAATAAATAAAAAAATAAGATAGATATTCCTTCAAAAGTTTGGCAATTTAAAAATGAATGTCATAACATGTTTAAGCTATTTATCAACAGAAGCTTGAGTTTTAATTTGTTAAAGATGTGTAGTCCCACAGAAATAGACACAGTATATTTTGGCAGACTCACTTCAGACACCTGGCGGTGGTTTCATGGGCAGGAGGCAGGAACTCGGAGAAGTCACTGTAGGAGTCCGACTTGTTAGACAGGCAGCCTAGTCTGGTCTTCATGGTGTTGATCCTGCTGAAAAAGCATACAATACTTAATGTATTTTTCTGACTGTGTATCTTAGCATATAGCTAAAACCTTGTGACAAAGACAATGCCTTCTGTGCGGATGAGGATTCACATGTGGGTGCATGAATGACTGAATTGTCAGACAAAGACGAACAGAGACATTTTTTTCGCATTCCACTGAGGAGCAAGGTTGTGACCAGAGGGTTTAAAAACCAAGAACCAGCTCCTTAACTGGAAAACCACAACTATGTTCAGTCAATTTCCTGGAATAATTGAAGTGATAATAAGTGTTTGTATTCATTATTGGTTTAGCTTCATGTAGTTGGGCTGCACCTTGTATATTTAGACTATGCATACATTCTTAAATATTATTGGAAGACCTGTTGAATAAACTGACTGTAAGACGCAAGATGCAGGGAGATAAGGCCAACTGATTGGACAGGACAGGACTGGAAGTAGACACCAGGTGCAACTCCATATGCAAAGCTGATTCAGTATGAGTCCACCTCATTCACAAGGGAGCTTCAAATATCCCTGATACTCAAATTCACATCCTGTTAAGGTTTCTTGTTTGAGTGTTAGTTTGCTGGGTTTAAGAAGACTTCTTACGCCCTGAGGGCACCACAATCCACTGACGGGTTTAAAAAGGATCTTAGACATTTCTTTTTAGCAAAGCTTTTTGGTCCCCCTTTTTAGATGGTTTTTATTTTTTTATTCTTTTTCTCTTTTCTTGCTTATTATTTTTTTAAAACTTGCTTTTTTGTTTCTAACCCTGTTAGCACTTTTGAGATCCTCTGATGGAAAAGGGCATTATAAATAAAAAATGATTATATTATTATTATATAGCAACAATTCCATGACTGCAACTGGGGTCTATGCAGGCTAAGATATGAGGCAGCACTGTCTCCTGATAATTTCATATTAATCCAGCTTGCATTACTCACAGTATGCCTTCATTAGCTCTGTGCTATCTAATATGCTTAGACACTCCCACTGCTTCAACTTATCTATTATTTAACCAACAGAATAAAATGACAACAATGGAAAAATACTGGTTTAGGGCTTAGTCATTTGTTTTCTTTCTGGAAATATAATGTGTTTCATAGTCTTTAAATATGGATCTCTAAATTGTGGTTATGAAAAAAAACCCAGAACTGAAATGAAACCATATCCCCATCCTCTCGTCACCCAAGCTGTCCTATCTTATTTGTACACTCTGGCTGTCATGGTACTTGCTTTGTCAGTGTTCTGCCTCCGGGACACATGGGGTCACGTCCAGATGGGGGCATGGTCGTGTAGGGATGCTCCAGATCAAAGGCCAAACATTTCTGTAAAAGCTAGCGCTCTGTTTCTCACAGGAAAAATTATTTGGAAATCATGTATATTAGAACAAACTGGTCTTAATACATTTCAGGGAAAATTCCTCCAATTCACTATATGCGATTGATATTTTCCTGCTGCTTCACGATCGGATGATCGGCTCACACTTCCAGAAAGCAAATATGTGTTGTTTCTTTGGCTTTTAAATAGAGCATTGAGTTGTTTTATGCACAGCCATTTCCTCACCAAGAGAAATGGGCCGTGATAGATTGGGTTTTGTGGGGAAGCGACTTATTATAACCCATATTACGCTTTATTGTTTAGTCAGTGAACTCTAGGCTGGCCATAGTGAAATTCATGGATGGAATCAAGGAAGCCGGTGTGACGCTGCAGTAAAGCTTGACAGTTTGCCAATAGGCGATGGGGAGGGTCCGGGCGTGGATGGGGGAATGGGTTCAACACACCCCGAACTTGGTCACCCCAGGTTGCCACGTTCGTTTTTTGTGCCCCCATGGTGAAACCAGGCTGCGTTCATTAGTAGCTTCCACTTTCCCCTCGGTTCCCACTTACCTCAGGCCCTGTTATGACGTAACAGCATACGTCCGTATGGAGGCCACTTGGACGCGGATAGGAAAAGTGGCCCGGAGGAGCGGGGGGATTTAAATTGGAAACGCACTGCCCCCCCCTCCGGAGGTGCTACTTCATTGGCAGCCGTCCCTTATAGCGGGCCAATGACGTAAACCCTGCCAATGCATTGTGGGCTGATATCCAACCTCGGAGTGACCATCGTTGTTCACTCGCTCCCATCAGGCCCCTCCGAGGGTCCATCTCACCAAGTTCACTTCAGTTTTCCAGACAATTGGAACGACACTTATGATGGCGGCGGGGATTCCCCCGAGGGCAAGTGCCGAGGGCAAGTGAACGAGGGCATGTTGAACGACTAATGAAACGCAGCCCAAAAGTCAACGCTGACTTATTTAAACTTACATACGTAAGTAAACGTACATAAAATACTTCAGTAATCCTTTTCTAACCAAACTACGACCGTTTTGGCAGGTTGGTAGAGCGAAGGTCTGGTGCGACTGTCACTGATAGTGTTTTATGGTCATACATGTTCTGTTGGGAGTCATTGGCAATTGACATATTCATTCGCTTATGTATGAGGACGTTGTATTGTATTCATCAAGGTACTTTAAATATATATATATTTATATGTGTTCTACCTTTTCAAGAGAACCCTAGAACCTTAAATACTTACTTTGTAGCAACGATACATTTACACTATGCTTCCTTTGGTTTTATGTATATATAATGTTTATGTAATCACATAATCTCATTTGAGATCAAGATCTCTTTTGCAAGAGAGACCTGAGTGCAACAGAGAGAAAGAAAAACAACCATAACCAGACATAACAAAAAGACAATTGCATACGAAGAACAGAGACACAACAGAAGCTCATTTGGCATCTGAGAGATCTTACAATTGGCCAGTGGGATGCAACATCAAGTTTTAAAATCCTCTGTAATTCATTCCATTTATAAGGTGCAAAGTTGTAGAAGGCAGTCGTACCAAGTTGACTATTTTTATGAAGGATTGCTAGTTTGGTGAGTAGTGGTTTTAAATTGGAGAAAGTACTGACTTTTTACTTTTACAGGAGACCTTTTATGAATTAAAAAAATAGAATGCAGTTCTCTTCTTGGTGCTAGTGATGACAAGCCATCTTTTTCATATAGTACACAGCGATGAGGACAATATTTGTGTGTGTATAAATATGTATTCCATTCATTGTATTTGTCCATTCACCTTGGATGTTTTTGGCGTAGTAGTAGAGTTGGAGCGGTGGATTGTTTTGATGCTTGGACCTTGAATTGGGAACATTGCATGAAATGTACTGTTCATTAGCCAACCGAAAGCCATTTGCTGGATTTAATATGCTTCAAAGTGTTGTGTCCTCCATTTACCTCTGCCAGGTTGTTTTGAGTTTTTATATAGGTGTGTGTGCATGAGAGACAGCATGTGCTTTTGTGTTTGGGTTGGAGCAATATATCAGGTTTCTGATATTGCCTTTAAATGAAAAGTGGATGTCAGTTTTCTTTGCCATCAAGTGTGAGTGTCAGAGAGGAATATGAGTTTATACATAGAGAACGCGAGTTAAAAAAACATCACATCACACTTTACATTGAGGAGTATTTGTTTGGGTTTTGGTGGATCGTTAATAGCTTACACGCTCTTACAGAAGCTTTTATAACAAGCTTCTCAAACCAGAATAAATATGAGGAAGCACAACACTGAAGTGTACTTTGCAGATTGTTTTGGATGCAATGTAGATTTGATGATTTCTGCCCCAGAAATATCTGTGTTTTGTATCAGATGTTATGTATAAAACTCATGCACTTGCCTGGAAAGCTAGTTTGTCATATCTGTGAGTCATAACCTCAAGGTGCACTTCATTTGTTAATGAATAGTTATTTTCAGAGGAGTTTGCAAAAATAATAGGCAGATGTATTTTTAGTATGTACAGACTGTGAATTTACTTGAGTACACTAGTGAGGGTTGAGCCTTACATCAGATTTCTCCATGGCTTATGGAAGGTTATAAAAGAGTGTTGTTAGAATGAATGTCTCGGATGAATGACGGCAGTAATGCCAACACCACTAACACTACATAATCATAGTCATATAGTCACTAAATTCTAATAGGTTCTTCCTCTGAAGAGCATGAATGTGCTCATGAAACTGGCATGGCACCCATGACATTGTTACTCCGTGTGAGTTAAATTTTTGTGTAAGGTTGGTGTGAGAGAAAAGGTCAGAGGATCACTAAAATTAAATGGATACATCCTCTGGGGAACAAGATTTTGCTCAGTAGCAGTAGTAGTAGTATAAGTTAACAGCAGTTAAAACCATCTAACCACAAAGTCCATTAATGCTCTTCTGGAGCTTTTGATCGTATCACACATCAGATGATAAGAAGTCCTTAAGGTGTTCAGAACCTACTATTCCATGACAAGACTATCTGAAAGCTCCAGAAAAGGTACTGAATGGATCTTTTTGTCAATTAGGCCCCATCCTCTGACGACCGCGAATATCCATATCACATTTCATGACTATCTGGCTAGATGCAAAAATTTCTTGGTCTGGATCATTGCACATTATTCAAATGAATTAATCAGTGTCTATGTTTTAGAATCACCACATTTTGATGTTATTTCCTTTATTGTTGAGGTCTGCTCCTACTCTTAGTTCTTTTAAGTCAAGGTTTAAAACATTTCTGTTTATCACAGTCTTGTAATAAATTCAATCTGTGACATTTTAAACATGTCTTTTTATATTACCTTATCTTTTTTATCTTTTCCTGTATCTTCTTTTAACATCTTTTTATATCTTAGGTAAGGCACTTTGAATTCCCTTGTTGCTGAAAGATGCAGTACAAATAAACCAGGCTTGGCTTGCTTTGCCCTTGTCGATGGTTTCATTTTAGTTATATTCCAAGACTGAGTTATGGATTTTAAGCTTTTCTCCCCTCCATCGGGGCCATTATGTAGGCAACCCCAGTGTGCACAATTAGATAATAATAGATAGCAATAAGTAAAAATTAGAGGTTATTTCACACAGATTGTATCAACATATCAATCAACATATCACTGTCAGACTGCAATTAGTGCTTTGAGTTTCATGTA